CAAGTCAGTAATATGGCTAACCAAACTGGCATAATTTATTGTTTAATAACGAGGCTGACAAGCCATTGACGAGTAAGTGAGTTCTAAGCTCACGATTTGTAACTTCAGGCCAATTGTGAGCAAAAATTCTTGCTTCTAAGAAGCCGTAGTTAGACCGCATTGCCAAAGCTCATAACCTCCAAAAGAGAGGAGTTATTATATTTTAATATCAGCAGAAAATGTCTACATTGGCAGACATTGCGTTTTGTAACTGTAGCGACCGGCATCGCCTTGGCTGCCATTTAGTCGGCTGGCGGGGGTAATAGCTCTGGGGCTAAAGGGAAATAGAATTTGTGTGTGTGTGTTGAGAGTGGAAGATGAGGATGCCCATCGTTAAGGCCCGTCTTTGCTTGAGCTAAAGGTCATGCTACAAACGGTCACATGGCTTGCCTACCCTACGGTTGCTGGGCTGGCAGCCGGTCTGGAAGGGGGAGGCAGGCCTTGTAGTGGTCATTGCGTTTGCCGCCTCCCTGCCGTCTGGTAACCGGGGCCGATGGAGTTGTGCTCTTAGTCCAGCCAACGCAGGGCAGATACATCTTAGTTGTGTTTACTTCCATTTCGAGTGAGAGTGTTTGATGAAAAGCTTTGAAGGTTAATTCCATCAGAAGACGACGGCGGACTCCTCTTGATTAGCTGTCGATTAGCCTTACGGGAACATTCATGCTGACACTGTTTGCTTGACTCGTTAGCGTGATTTTGTTTGTGACGATGATAACCTCCATGGTCTGATGATATTCGTTACTTAACGTACAAAAGCTTAGCACCTTTTTACCGGAGTCGAAGGAGATTGTCTCGGAAACAGCGTCTGCATGAATAAAAGTTTTCTTCTAACTAAGATTAATACACATAGTTTTACACAATTTTGTATTTTAATTTTTTCTGAAAATAATAGAACTGGGAATTAGGTTTCTTTTGTATATTACATTCTTTTGATAGTTGATACTTGAAAAGATTTTTCATGCGGAATATTTGTTTGATTTAATTGCAATGCTTACCTTCCTTTTAGTGAAATTTACTTAAATAATAAGGTAAATTATCCTACAGCATCTCACTTATCCCTCAAAATAATATTTGCTACAGCCAAGTACTTGCATTTAATCAGGATTACTAATCAAATGCATGTCTTTCTATAGCCAAATACACTTTTGAGTATAGGATATTTTAAGCAAGATGTATCTAATAAAATGCTACACATATAAACGTAATATGTCTCAAATTTAATCCCATTTTCATTGAAATGATAATTGCAATAAGAGACCGAAGCTAATGGTATTTTTTATAAATTCTATATATAATGCATTTTTTTTCTATCTTAGCTAATCTAGAATCCGAATTCATTTAATTATCCTTGTAGAAAATATTTGATATTTTGCAAAAATAAACTTATTTTCAATTTAAAAAAATTCAAACCACTAAAATAAATTCGTAGTTACTTGATATATTTGAAGTTATTAATCTATACAAACTGGTTATTTCTTTCCAGTAATTATTCAAAGCACGTTAGTTTATAGACAACTTGTTTTCTAAAGATATGTTAACATTAATTGCTCTATATAATTGATAAAAATAAAATAAATTAAATACATCCTCCTATATTATATTGCATAAAACTGAACCCAGGAATAATTCAAGGTTCTCAACAAGCCTTTATTATATAGCTTATTTAAAATTTCCTTTGCCATCAGCATTCTTGTCGAGCCAGAAGTATTTATTTAATAGCATAAAAGACCACTGCTAAGTAATTTAATATGCATGCAATCTGCAAAGCAATTCTAATTAAAGACCAATAAACTGCACTGAATAATTTTATTCACTATAGCCTGACAAGGTTTTATTAAGAATGAACCTATTTTCGCTTTAATGACTTGATAAATTCCTTATTATTTTTTAGGTAGCTGAAAATGGCTCTTTTCATTTACAAATATACGAGTAGTTAAGTTTATGCATAGTAAATATTTTGTAAAGAAATAACATAAAAGTAACACATATCTATCAAAATATGCCTTAAAACTTGCTTAAGTTGTTTTTACGATTCTAATTTAAGACAGATTGTTGTTTAATTCTAGTATTTAGAAGGAATTTATTTGTGACTTACTTAACTTTATTCCTATTAAAATATATATTGATAAGCTTTCTATGACAATGCGCTAAGGGGTTTATTTATTTATATCTTTCATAATTTGTATAAAAGTAAAAATTATTAAAAGTGATCGAGCTTACTGAATTTTTTTTTTACCTCTATAGGTAAAAGGATAATTTTCTAATCTCATTTACGATATATACCGTTAGCTAATAATTTCTCTATAGCAATTAAATAAGACGATGTAGGAAATGTTAATGGACTTACCCCTCATGATATAGACAGTTAACATTATGTCAATAGCCGTTCTGCTGCAGTACGGATTAACATATGTTCTTCTTAGGTTGGACTATAGTCTTGTCTGGAATAGAATTGTAATCCAAAGAAGGACCATTTAAATCTAGTCCTCATCCAATAAAAGGAGGATTACAGCTATTTACTCATAATATTATAGTTACTACAGAATTAAAAAAATATTTTTATGACAATGCTTAGAAAAATTCGATGATACTCTAAAGGCTTCTAATGGCAAAATTTCAAACTTTGTCCTATATTTATTAAATAATCTTCGGGATTTTTGTTTTATATATATCTCTATCCAAATAAAAGGGACGTAGAATAAGCCAACTTTGATGAATCTAGTAAAATCACAATGTTTAGAGACTTTTATTTCTTAAATATTGCATGAATAAGAGATTCTTAGATCAATCTGATAATAAGACGACAGATAAATCCCGGTGTACTGCAGCCTTTTGCATTTTATACGCTATGCAAATTTATGCAGTACACTGAATACCCTTCCTCGTTTAAGGTAAACCTGGTAAAGCCTTCGTCCATTATATGATTGACAAAATCAGAGCTGTAACCCAGTGTTTTAAAGGTCTTTAGTTAACGCCACGGGCAAAAAGACTATCTTAATTTATCTCACGTCTTAATTTAGATTTAATTATGCAAAATAAAAATAAAAAATCTAGATACACAAGGGATGGTTTGGCTAATTTTCTTTAACATTGGTTCTGCTCTTTTTGTTTCAGTGTCAGTGTGTGTTAAATGCAGATAAACTTTTTAAATTGCTTCGGAATATAATTAGTAAATTGTTTTTAAATTAATAAGAGTAAATATATTAATTCAATACATAAAAATATTGTAGAAAATATAGCTACGTTTAAGATAATTTTAGATACTAAGGTTAAAATATTTGATAGGATTAAAGAAATTACATTATAGGCTTGGTTATTGAGAATAAATATTTCATAGAATAATGAATACTTCTTAGTTAAAATAAAAACTCATCAAACTAACCTCAAAACATTTTTAAATGGACAAATTATATAATTTAATTTATAGGTTCTTTTAAACAACCAACATAAGAGAGCAATATATGAGATATACAACAAAACTAGACAGCATGAGAAAAATGATGCCAGAAATCCCAGAAAATCAAAACTATTTAAATTCTCTTATTCTTGTTTACTGATTTGGTAAAACCAAGATGGCACTTCCATTAATACTGAAAGTTTACTAACTCTTGGTGCAAAAGACTATGAATATATTTCAAATAAAAAACTTATATTTGCTGACATAATTATAGCAATTGGCATTTGTTAAGCTTAAAATTAATGCTGCTGATAAGAGAAAC